AATCAAATTTATGAAATTATTTCAGCATATATATAATGGATAACATTAAGTTAATCATTCAATAACAATGAATGATCAGAAGTGTTTTAATTTTGTGGTAAATAGTCTATCTTAATGACATTAGCTTAACTTCACTGCCTTTACCATAAAAGGACAAATGAACTGTTTGGTAGAGCATGTTTTCAAAAAATTATTTGACCTTTATTAGACTTTACTTTTGCATAAAGTTACATAAAGACGGACTATTTAAAGACACGGCAACATCATTACATACATAAACCATATTCATTAAGATAAAGTGACTCAGAATGTGCTCTATCAAATGGCTAAGCAGAACATTAAAGGGTTAACTGTTATTTTGCCATTTGGTTCTTGGCTGTTCTTTCTGGAGCTGTTGTTGTTGTCTGTTACGTAATAGAGTTGCAACCTGCAGATATATAGATTTTATTGTAAAAAACCAAAAACAAACTTACAGATCAACTTTGAGCTGTTTTGGAAAATATTCTCATTATGTTCTGTTCTGTTTAGACTCACATGGAGAAGACCTGCTTTGTCCTGGCTTACTTGACCTCCCAGGGCAGAGTTCCTCTCTTGGGTCTCAATGATGTAATCGCTGGTGTGCTTCGCGGTTGGCCAAGCAGCACAGTCGGCTGGCTCCTCCTGCAGACTTTTTACCAGTGTCGCCTGGCCACCAACCCCAATACAGGTTAGGCCTGAAACAAGTCAACTATTGGAGCTTTTCCTGCAGCATTACATCATGCAGGAAAAGTGGCAGTGCATAGTTTGAAATCTTCCAAGTTGTGAATCATTCCTGTAAAAGAAGATACTATCTGTAAACTATGGCTTTTTGCGGATGTGATTACTAGGTGTCACTACAGTTGAGAATTTTCAAATTCCACACATAATGGTTTTAATGATCAATTTATTTAGAAGTCAACACATAGTATACCTCTCTACATGCAGTACATGTTTGCCTTCATGTTTATGTCCACCTCTGAGTGAGTCCACTTGTTGAGATGGTTTGTTCTTTGTTGTAGGTGTGTTGAAACGAATGGAGTGGCTCCTTGAGTTGATGGGACACATCCGAAACATTGCCTTTGGTGCAACCTCCGTCGCATGTGGAGACACCAAACTGGTATGTTTCCGAGCCTTGCCGGCAAACTGCAGTGTAGTATTTGTGGAGCTGTCAGTGTGTTGTTGTCACATGCCACAGATAATGTTTCAGAATGTAGGTGAGAGTTTAGGGCTCCTCGGGAATAACTGTCATACCAGGGCTGGTTCGGAATGCAGCTCCAGGCTTGTTGGGCGCGTCCACTAATATGTGTCAAATGTGCGAACAGATTTTAAATTTACAAGGGACTTATTCTGCTTTTCCTTATGTTCTGTCCTATGTATATAATGACAGATGTTCATATTAAACATGGCCAGTGTTTCAAGTTATGAGATAAACGTATGTAAAAGTAATCCCTGTAAACAAAACCCACAGGCTTCAAACCGTAGGAAGTGCTGCTTGATCAGTCAGAGCAGAGTTGGCAAAGTATCTTAGACAGAGGGTGAATACAGATGTTCCAGCACAGACAGTATGAGGAACATAATGGGTTTTATGACAATTAAAGCATGTAAACATGTTCTTGTTGAAACCTTAAATACAAGTATGAACCGAAAATTAGAATAATAGGTGCTTTTTAAGCTGCTCATATAAAAAAGTAAACTAAACATCAAAACATCATCAAATGGTTTTTATTACATAGGCACAAACGTTTCCATTGGCCCCTCTTTCAGCTCTGTTAAATTTGGGCTAAATTTAGACTCTGGCTGGGTTTGGATGTTGGTGACGTGTGGCTGCGAGTCATTCATCAGGATGATGGAATCAACTCACCAGTCTGTAAACTCTCCTTCTGTTGATTCCTACCTAGCTGCTTGCTAGCCAGGTTGTGTTTTTCAAATGTAAACATTAGTAAACACTGAGGAAAAGATGGAGAAGAATGACCACCAGCTGAACTAGCATCCTGCTAGCCACTGTACAGGCATTGGACAATAAACATGGCGACCTCAGTGCCGCATCAGTTTCCAACAGGATATCAGGAACTGTAATATCCTTTGATATTGGCGAATTCCTGGACAGTGCCATTCAACTAGGGGACTCTTTTTCTATATGGTGATGTGACAGAGCAGAGGACCTTGTTTGTGTCATTATTGTGAATGTGATATCTCAAGAAAGCCCTGAATTAATTTCTTTGAATTTGGCACAAATGTTCACTTGGATTCAAGGATGACCTTTATTAGATTTTGTTGATCATAGGTCAAGGTCAGTATCACCTCATCTTTCTTATTCTTGTGCATGCAATATCTCAAGAATACCTTGAGGGAATTTCTTTACATTTGGCTCAAATATCCCCTTAGACTGAGGAATATACTGGTAAGACTTTGGTGGTCAAAGGTCAAGGTCACAGTGACATCACAATATATGTTTTTGGCCATAACTCAAGATTTCTTTTCATAATTATGACTAGTGTTGACCCTATAATGATATAACGAAGTGATGTCATTTTATATTCAAAAGGTCTAAGGTCAACCTCATTGTGACATCATAATGTTCTGCATAAATCTTGACCCTTGACACTAATCTTGGGTGTTCACCTTAAAAGTGTTTTGATTGTATAGATCTTTTGTGTGCGAAGCATCCAGGTTTTCACAGACATGGATGTAAACTGTCAGAGAAGCTTGACTGATACGCTGAGGCATACAGCCACGGGGCAGTAATGCTAGTTCATTAAAAATGAACACAGTACAGTATTCAATGTGTACCATTCTTGAAACCTGTTCAAACTACGTAGTATTCTTGCCTATTTAAGTTGACGATAGATTTGCTCTGTGTTTACACAGGCCACAGACTTCCTGTTCCAGATTTTTTCTGCTGCTGTAGTTTCCTGGGGTGACCACTTCATGCCCCTCCTGCTTGGCATTAGGGCCCAGTGGTTCCCATGGCAACCCAACTCTAAGCCCCAAACTCTGCAACACAGTCTGTACGGTGAGGAGGCATTCACTGAGCGTGCCCTGCCGCAGTGCCTGCTGGGAATGCCCCACAGTCTGAGTCTGCTCCTGGACAAAAAGCCCTGGAGCAGCCAGACAGACAAGGTCAGTGTGTCTCATATACTCTGTTGTCATTTTAAAATCAATGATTAAGTTATGGGCCAGGTTTTTTTAGCTGAACAAGATGGTGATAATGTGTGTGTGTTCTGTGTCTTAGTTCATAGACTGGCTTTTCAGCATCACAGAAGGTCCTGAACAGAGTCTGTCGGCCTCGACCATCAGCACAGCCAAAGGTAAAAACAAACAATTAAGGATTCATTTTCCATAGAAATATCTCTGTCCACGTAATGTGATTTCTTTAAGTGCTGCTCCATTACTCAGACAGTGTTTGAAGTCTTTACACCCTCCTGTGCTCAGGGACTAACAGTGATGTCACGACTTATGTTAGTGTAAGTCTGTAAAGCTTGACACTGGGCCACAGATGTATTAAGAAGGGTTGATTTAGTGCTGCTGGTCAGTCTTAAAGACCCTTTACAACTAAAGTCATCAAAATTATGCATGCACATGTTGGCAGCAGATGAGTTAGCAAGCTTTAAACATTGATTTAAAACTGTTAACAGCATTAAAATGAATGGTTACTGCGTGTTTAGTTGCCAGAATCAATATTCCAACAGTGACTCAAGTTCTGACAGGATCACAACTGTTTGGGAGCAAATCTGGTGACTCAGCCAAATGCATCACGGTTGCTTGCAGTAACGGCAGCTGTTGAAAACATAAATAGAACGTGTAGCTGTCCTCATAAAAGCCTTCAATTTTACTTCAATTCATTTTGAATACATAGTCATCTGTGTTTATTATCTATGCCAACCACTTATGCAAGTTAGTACAAGCAACCACTGACACGTTCGGAAGATCACCCAATAACAGTCAGTTGTTAAACTGAAACACTGGCAGCATCTATGGTTACAAGCTTTTAAATGTGTTGATGAGCACTTGGCTGAGGACACATTAAAAAAATGTGCGTTACAGTATACAGAAGCAGAGCTCATGTTTATCTAACAACTATATATTGTTGAGCGAGAGCTATGTTAGCTAGCAAGCCAACAACACAAATTGTAAGTACAATTCCCTCTAAGGAACATTAGTTTTCTGGTTTGTTGATTGTGACTCAAGCCTCATACAGAGTGGTTGTGTGTCCTTGTCTTTAGCGAGGGAGGATTTAGCAGCTAGTGACTTATTTGCTTGCAGTTTCTCACTGGTGTACCCATTACGTTTCTCTACCAAATACATGTAAATACCTGGCCTTTGAATATTGGGCCACTTGCTAATGTCTAATACCCACTCACTAACAGCATATGGATAGTCACCATTTGTCAAAGTCAGGCTGTTTTGCATTCCTGATCTTTGGTGGTTAATGTCCTTGCGTAGTTTGACAAGCTTTTGCACTCTGCCACACTTGAATTGCCAAACTGTATGCACACTCTTACATACATCATTGTTTACAACTGTTAAAGGATCTATTGCCAGTTTGTCCTAGTGTCTAACTGTGGTACTACACCCAGTGGCCCAGAAAGCATTTTCCCCCATAGACCATCATCATGAAAGAGATGTCTGTCAAAGTGTTTACAGGTGACCTTCAACTGCAAAAAAGTCAATTATTACTCTTATGTAGACCAAAGGTTCCTAACTGGTGGGTCGCGGTCCAAAAGTGGGTCGCGTGTCCACTATGAATGGACCGCAAGTGACTTGCAAACATGTCAAGATTGTAAAAAACACACTTTATTTTTAGGTACAGTGAATTTCCAGCACAGTGGTTTTATTTTGAAGAGCTGTTTCCTGCTGTAGAATAAGTGACAGCTACTTGACAGAGACAGCAAACTGGCTCAGACAACTTGGCCAATTTCTAATATAAGGAGAACTGGCTGGACCAGTTAGGAACTGCTGATGTAGTTCAAAACACACAAACATTGGTCTTTGTAAATGTTTTATGAGAAATGAAATGCATTCACAATATTTGTTTTGCATCCAGGATATACAGTTCAGTAAACATTAACTGTGTCTGAAATCCCATACTTACATGCAATTTAGTATTCTCAAACAGTGTGTGAGATTCTTGACCACGTCCGAAACCTATTCCTATTCTGTTGAATATTGCAATATACAAACACTGGGCACTACGTTGGCATAAATACCCCACAATGCAATGCGCTGGTGACAACAATAATCATTACAGACAGTGGACCATAATCACTGGACATGTTGCTGACCTTTCCCACTAACTGAAGCATTATCTGGCAGCAACAGTGTAGACACTGGGGTTGCACTGGGGCCCATAGGATTGGGAGGGGCCTTGTAGAGAGAGCGAGCCCTCCAGTTGTAATACTAGAGAACAGTCCCTTAGGAGTAATTCAGATTGCCACCTCAGAAATATGCTTGTGTTCAAATGACTCAAGTTAAAATAAAAATGGTGCCATTTGCAATACATGCAAAAAGGCAAACCAATCTCCATCATTGTTTTATTATTATTTTTTTGTAATCTGTTACAAAATTATATGTTTATTCTACATAAAATATAAAAACTATAAATGAAAGATTCAGTTAAATTAATACTTTCCCATTTGATTCAGTTTTTTTGTCATATATAGATTTAAAACAGTAGCTAGTTTGGACAAAAAAATCTGACACCAAGGCTGTGATAATAGCGTGCACTGGGACTCGTCCTAATTACTGTGCGCCACTGGGCGAACAAGATGTTTGCATACATAACAAGTCCACCGGTTTGCATGTTCTAACAGCCAAAGTAAGGTTACTCAGACAGATGTGACGAAAAACCAAAAACTCTAAAGGTTCATCATGCTTGCGATCACTATTGCCGGTACAGCTGATGTTGACACGGGTTACCATGGTTACACAGAAGCTCTCAGGAAGTGAAGTGGTAATAGCTTAGTGCGTCCAAAAACTGCACTTCACCCAAAAGCATGTTGAACGATGATTCATATATTGAGTTTGTAGTGCATAGTATGTGATTTAGGATGCAGCAAGTGTGTCTTTGAAAAAAAAAAAAAAACTGGATGTAAACACAACTGTGTTTAAAAAAAAAACTCTACAGAGGAGGAAACACTGATTTTGGTTTTTTATGGAATGGCAACTTAAATCCATCACATCATGTAAACATCAAGATTGGCAGTAAGTAGCAGAAACCCCAAAACCCACCCTGTCTTTCCATTTACATCATACATTCACAGGAGCAAACAACATTCTTGGCAGAGATGAACAGAGATGAAACTTCTTGTTTGATTACAAACTGGATTCGTTCCAATTGATTTATCTGATCCTTGCTGTTTCAGCTGCCCTGTTGGCCCTGAAGTCCTCCACTGAGTTCAAGAAGAAAGCTGTGTGGACCAGAGCATACGGATGGTAGCCCAGAGGAGACACTACAGACTGTTTCCCTGGCAATGCATACAGAGGTCCTTCACAAAAACATGACTGGAGCTTTAACATACTCAAGCTGCGCCTGTCCTGCCTCCATCTGCTGGACGTGGATTCACTGACTGCTGTTAAAACAATTGTTCCCATTAAAACTTCATCAAATGCAGGAAATACTTTTTGGTGTTAAATTTGATTTTTCTGGCTCTCGAGTTAAAGATATAGATTTTAATGATCACACATTTTGATGACCCTCAACCCCCTAAAATTACAAAGTGACAGTCCTCATGATCTTTAAAAAAAAACTTGACCATCACAGTTCCTGAAAGATTTAAGTGATCCAAACATTCATTGTGCAGGTGTCATTTCTTTTTCTTCTTCTTGTTCCATTTCTCCAGGTGGTGTTGTCTCTCCTTCAGCAGTTGCCAGACTGATACAGAGGCCCCTAAAAGAGACCGTACTGTTAGAAAATCAGAAAAAAAAAAAAAAGAAAACCGTGTTTGCTACTTATTTTTAGTAATTTTGTATTTATGGCACAAATCTAACAGCTGCAAAAGGATGGTCATTACAGAATAATACAGCTGTTTACCAAGTAAAGCTAAATAGTTTACACCCAAGTATACGTGGTAGCAAACAGTCGGTCTTCTCTCTGGTTGGAGTTGCTACATGTTGAGGCATGACAAGCCGTGACTCTAAAACGCAGCAAATTTCAGGCTTTGTTAGGCTGTGATCACAGCTGGAACAAACAAAGCCTCCAGTCTGACTACAGCCTGACCTACCAGTAACTCAGTCATTCGCCAGTGAACTCTTAAGGCCCTGACTCATTAAGCTGATGGTTAGCCATCAGTCAATGTTTGGCCCTCGGTGAGCATCTGTCTCCCTTGTCTTTATGGTGTGTCCTTCTCTGTTGGCTCTTGTTGGCTTTCTTTTTGGTCAATTTAGCATGTTGAGTGGTGTTGGAGACAGTGGAGCCTGTCCGTTGAATGAAATCATTCTGATTGGCAGTTCAGCTCAGCGCAGAAAAGAGAAACGAAAGTGAGGAAAGTAAACAGCTGAAGACAAGAGGGAGTGAGGTCAAAGCAAACCTGTTACATAAGGTAATGTTATTTTTCTTTAGCCATTGAGCTCTTTAACAGAAATGTTTCTTGATGCTTTGTGTCATTGTTCTCCACACCAGCAGCATTCCAAAAGGGAAACTAGAAGACCGTCATGACACTAGTTAGCAAGTTAACACGGTAACAGCACAATCTAATGCTGAAAAAAACAGAGCATTTTTACTGTGCGCCGGCAAACAATAATGCAAACCATCTGGAAACATTTCTGCTGAAGTGCTCAGCGACTTAAGGAACAATAATCTGACCTTATGCAACAACTTTGTTTTGGTCTCACTCCCTCTTTTGTTTAGCTCTTTGTTTACTTTCCTCACTTCTGTTTCTCTTCTCTGTGCTGAGCTGAACTGCCAATCAGTGATTTTATTCACTAACGGGCTCCGCCATCTCAGATGCTGATTCAACCTGCTGAATCGGCTGTAAAAACGCTGACAAGGGTCAATGGTGTGGGACACACTGCATGAAGTAGGGCAACAGATGCGCACAGATGGCTGACCGTCAGCTTGGTGTGTCAGGGCCTTAGCGCAGGGCTGGAAGGTGAGCTAATCATCCTCCTACTGCCAACATTGGGTGAAACTTAGGTCCAAGTAAGTATATGTTGAGTATTAAACTTAAAACTAACTTCACAGCAGTACTGCGGCCACGGCTTGCTTGACAGCAGTGTGTTGGACTGGACTGTTTAGACTGAACTCAGATGTCCACATAGGGGTCTGTGCGTACATGGGCAGATGACGACTTTTCCGACAGACGCGGAAAGTAAGAAGATTTACTTTAAAGGACTAGCTCAACAGATTGAAATACCTCTATTTGCTTTTTTTTCCAAATGTGATATGAAAAGATTGATACCACTCATGCCTATGTGTTTAGAACTCATGGAGACTGTTAGCCTAGCTTAGCACACAGACTAGAAGCAGGGGGGTACGGCTAGCCTGGCTCAATCCACAGTTTAAAAAAATACACCTCTAAACACCCCAAAGCTCATTCATTAACATGTTGTATCTCTAAAGCCATGCTAGCTGCTCTGTGAGGTTGTACTTAGACACCGCGGTGCTTTGAGCTAAATGTTAGCATCTGTCTGCCAAAATGCTCAGAGTGACTATGCTTACATGTTGATGTGTAGTAGGTTTAAGTCAAGTCAAGAAGACAATACAAACAATCAATGTGTTTGTCTCCAGAGGGTCCAGAGGGGTTATTGGTTGTATGAAAACAGCAAAGACACACACAATGTTAACATATAATGCAACATTTAACAAAAAAGTAAAAACAAAGAGAAAGAAAATAAGCAATGTTTTCCAAGTGTGGTTTGGTGGTCAAGATGATATTACAGTTTACTATAGGAATTCAGCAGTGAAATGGCTGAGGGTATAAAGGAGTGTATGTATCTGTTTGTTTTAACTCTAATGTTCACCATTGTCACCATCTTAGTATGTTAGCATGAAAGCATTTGCTGAGTAATAGTAAATACAAAGTACAGCTGAGGGTAATGGGAATGTCATCAGTATTGCAGGTATTGGACATGTTGAAATGTTAACTTGCTGGTGGCGCTAAGAAAAGTCAGGGGATCAGAAAGGTCGGTGGGTTTCATCCTCTGAGGATCATGAATGTGTGTACAAAATGTCATGGCCATCCATCAGATAGTTGTTGAGATATTTTGGCTGAATAATAGAGCCCTGCTGTCAGCATGGCTAAAAACATCAATTTGTGGTTTTAGTTAAAGTTGCATGCACAGCACTTCTATGCAGCATCTCCACCTGAAGCACAGGTCGTCAGAATCCGTATATGAGCACAGACTTCAGTCTCTGCACAGTTATGATGGAACCAAACCTGACAGATGACAAGACTGTAGGAAGCAGCACCCAGCTGTCCAAAAGAAAACCCCTAAAATCTCAAGTGAAATCTGTCACTTTGACATCTCTTATTCAGGTACTTTTTTGCCAGGCAGGTTGAGTAATGATATGATGATAAAAGTGCTGGAGAAGAGAGTATTTCCCTTTGTTCAAAATCAAATGGAGCTCCTCTTTCATAAAAGTAAAACATCACATTACAGATGATCGCACGGAGAAAAACAACCCCCCTCATTCATCTCAACAGGGCTGCTGCATTGGCACAGTGTGAGGGCACCCCAGAATGTTCTGGCACTACACTGCAGTGTCACTGGGCTTTTACGTGAACATCTGTATATCTACAGTTTATCTGGCGATCATTGCAACTAAAGGTTGAATAACTGCCACATTGACCTTTCCTAATAGCATTCTAAACAGCTGTACAGTGTTTTCAGATACGCCTTCACACTCTGGTCCTCACCATTGCAGCCCCTTGTGTTGTTTTAACAAGGGACTGTTTTCAGTCTGAACTCTGGCTAACTGGTCTTACCAAGAGCCAGAACAGGCAGGTAGACCATCAGCAGGAAGGGCAGGTGAATGTGTGTTGACAATGTTGAGTTCAAAGACGATGAGTTTGGTGCTGCCGGCTCAAAATATGGCAGGGCCTGGTATATGGTGACACCTGAGGAAGAAATGGAACACATACAAGATGCTGAGGCACTCCTTTAAAGTTTGAATACACTCTCAGTGTGTTTTATTTGTCTCAAGGATTCTTCAAATCATTATAAAATACTCTGCAGTCCAGTAAATAACAATTCCTACCAAAGTAACACTGGATCAGGACACACACTATGCCAGTGGTGAGTTGTTATCTGACTACACTGTGTGTGTGTGTGTGTGTGTGTGTGTGTGTGTGTGTGTGTTAGTGATATATAGAGCTTCACAGGGGTCTGTAGTGTGTATTTGTGTGCAGTTAACATGTGTTCAGTTACACACACACACACACACATGATCTTTCCTCACACACTTCCCGACATTTTATCATCGACTCTGCTTTGCAAACTCATTTCCTGTTGCGTACTTCCCTTATAAAGTAGCAGTCTGACACATTAAAGCAGCTCATATTCTCCAGCCTGTGTGAGGTCAGCTGCAGTGTAACTCCCATTAATGATCCCAAATGTGAGATGCAGTCTGAAGCCAGCCTAGTCATCAGAAGAAAATGTTGGCATTGTATGTTTCTGCAAACCACAAATACGTTAATTTTCAGATTTCCTATCATATCAATGTATTATATGAGCTGACTTTGACATCTGAAAGCGGAGGAGATGGTGGCTGCTGTGACACTGAGGCAAGATGCCTGCCAAGCTGCAGACCACTACAGACAGCTGTTCGAGACCAACAAACATCAAAAGCTGTTGTTTTTCAGCGAGTCATTGCTGTGTTTCCACATTTTTTAAATGTGAGTGTTCTGTAGCAACTTGTTGCTGTTTTTCCATCAGCTCTCAGCCACCAATCAAGTGTTTTGTTGCGAGCCAACGCTGTTTTTCCAGTAGCTTTTAGCCACCAAAAGTGGGTGTTTTTATGGCAACCTGTCGCTGTTTTTGCAGCATTTGTTTAGCACCAAACATGGATATTCTGTTGTTGATGCTGTTTTTCCAGCAGCTTTTAGCCATCAAACATGGATGTTTTTAGTGACCTGTCACTGTTTTTCCAGTGGGGATAGTGGCATGAAAGACAGAAATGTTTTTAGATACACATCCCTGCTTTTCCAACGGAAACAGACTGTAGATATTAGGTCAAAACAAGATCCTTTCTTAACCAAGACTAACTGGTTTTGTTCCTAATCCTAACCCAATGGTAACCACTTGTTGACACGGAAAATACAACATAAAATTTCAATGGAACATTACCATATCCATTGGCATACTTTTTTTATTTTTTTTTATAAGGACTTTTGGAGCCTTGTTATTAACATGAATGTCTCAGCTCCTTAACATGAAAAGTGAAGTTAATAACAGTGACTTCATGCAGAGGCTCTGGCTAAGTGGCCCCTTTAGGTCTTGGACCCCCTGGGCCTTGGCCCAGTAGGACTCTTCAGTGATATGCCCATGTGTGTGTTTTTGCTATATAATAACATACAAATATAATCTGTCAGTGGTTTGCAGAAAAGTGTGTTGCCAACATTTTTTTCTGGTGACTGGATTGCAGAGGCCTGCTCAGCCACCGGGTGTGTTTTTTGTAAAACTGCCAGTTTCACAATTTGATAGTAAAAAATAAGTTAATCAGTGAGTTGGTCACCTTCAGTGGCCACTGATAGGATGTATAAGGGGATCCAGAGTGTGTAGCGAGTCCACAGCATGGCGATGGAAGGTTTATCCATAACACACAGTAGCTCATGTGGGTACCTGTCATCAAACAAATCAGCAGGAAAACCATTAATCCTAGTAAGACATGCCTCAGTGCACTGTCTTGGCAATGCTTTTGTATCTTGTAAAAAGGCTGTTTTTCAGCATTTATTTTAAGTTTGAATCAATGACGATGGTGCAGCTCTCAATAAATATGCTGTTTTGTAGCCTATATATATTCAACCTAGTTAGTTCAGAGATCTGCAGCCAGGCTAGTGCTTGAACCCTAACTTTAGCTGCCTGCACATTTCTCAGCTGATTCAAAAGCTGCACTATATTTATATGAACAATAGATAAAATGACTCAGTGTTATGTCAAGGAAGTTGCTTCTATTAAAATTCCATAAAGAATTTTCACTGTAGTCCCCTTAACTCTGCAAGGCTTTATAGCCTCTTTCTGAATGCAGGGTTTACTTATACAGATATAACTTTTCACCTTCATTTAGACAGCAAGGTTGTATTAAGTATTTAGTTCTTGCATTACTACTCTTGACTCTAGATTCTACTTCCAAATGAGGTACCTCAGATAGCTCTAAAACTATTAGACACTGTCGATTGCCTGACTGTGTTTTTGCTCCGTCTGACTTGTTATTAGTGGCGTTACCACATTTCCAGATCTCAGCTGTTAATTAATTAATTTTGTGAGTACTGTGTTATTTATTTTAAGTGATAATGGTCAAACTTATAAAACCTCTTTCAGTATAATGCATTTCAGTGTAAAACAAAATGCCACCACAACTCTACTGTACGAAATGACCATAGTGTTGAATCAACTTCTCTCTGACCCAGTGTCAAAAAAACCTGCGTACTGAAGCTTTATTAGAAGCATTTACTGCAGGGCTTTTTCCAATAGACTAAATAAGACTATAGAGGTGTACTTAACAGACCAACAGACCAAATCAATATAAGTCTAAAGACATTTAAGCAGTTCTAAGAGGCATGGCTGGACTACAAAAACCTCAGGCACTGGCTTTTAGTAATTTGATCAATTGCATTTTTAGGGAATGTTCTATTGTGCAATATAAACAAAGAAGGAAACATCTTGTTTTAAAGGGACAGTTCACCCCATAATCAAAAATACATATTTCTCTTACTTGTGATGCTATTTATCAGTCCCAGTTGTTTTGGTAGGAGTTGCCAAGTGGTGGAGATATTGGTGTAGAGATGTCTTCCTTCTCTCCAATATAATGGGACTTGATGGCTCATGGTGTTCAAAAAGCCAAAAAAATACATTTGAAAAACTCTACAACAATGTCTCTTTCCAGAAATCATGACCACGTTACTCAAGACCTTGTTGTGAGTATTTTCATGTGGGATTTTTTTTTTTTTTTTTTTTTTTTTAACCGAACCACACCTGACAACCGTGTTACAACATAGAAGGAAGTGTGCATCTACTCATGGACGAGAGGCTTGTGACAGAGCGAGATGCAAACATAATGGCGTCGTCCTCAACTGAGCTGTAACGTTAGCTAGCTCAGTGGTGCTAGGTGAGCTAATAGTAGATGCGCAATTCTTTCCTTGCGGTGGTATGGTTGGTTGATTAAGTTCAGTAGAAATGAAAATAGATCTTACTTAAAACTGCTCACAACAAAGTCTGTGGATTATTTTGAGTAACCAGGCCATGATTTCTGCAAAGAGACATTAGCTATGTTTCCATCCAAAAGTGATTCGAATCATTGGGAAATGCACACTAAAAGAAATACGAATCCTGTGTGTTTCCATTAAATGTTCGGACTTTGGTGAAAACTTACGAACTCGCGCGAGTTTTCCGCAGAACCGGAAACAAAACATAACTGTTTCCATCCCCCGTTTTGCGAATCAACATTTTTTCGAATCAACCAAAACCCGGCTAAAGCGAGCGTACTTTAGTTTGTGCGAATCAAGGGATTTTAATTTGAATTTTGGCGTTTCAATCATAATTTTCCGATGCAGTACTTCTAGATGCGCATCTAAACAGGCTGATGGAAACATGGCTATTGCTGTTGAGTTTTTCAAATGTATCTTTTGGCGCTTTGAGCACCACAAGCTGAATGTTACCTAGTTCCATTATTTTGGAGAGAAGGCAGACATCTCTACGGCTGATATCTCCAACACTCTTCAACTCACACCTAAACTATCCAGAATGATAAACAGGTAAAAGGAAAAATTTGTATTTTTGATTTTGGGTGAACTGTCCTTTTAAGGCAATAATTACTGTTTTTGCATTTATGCTGTGTTCACTTGGAGTAAGCTATATTCCCAAAATAATTTTGTATGGATGGGGTCAGTAGAGCCCACTAACAGGTTAATGTCGCCAAGCATAGAGGCTACAGTATGGGTGATTTTGCTATTACTGGTGAGAGGGCGGTACAATAAAATACCTTGAGTTCATCCTCTGGGGAGCATGAATGTTTACGGCAGATGTCACTGACAACTACTTAATTGTGAAGATATCTTGCTTTTGATCAAACACACTGTGTCCAGCAGAGCAGAAACAAACATGTAAAGAATATTTTTAAAGTAAATCTAGCAGAAGTGCAGATGGTGCTCCTGCATTCCTGTACCAGCTGAGATTTTCTGCAAAATTGTAACAAGATGTTTGAACAATTGAAATGAAGAGACAAGCCGTAAGTCACATGCGTACCGTAGGAGGTCCAGTATGTTCCACAAGAAGAACTGCGCACACACGACTGGTTTACTCTGGATCTCCTCCAACATGATGACCATGATCAGCAGGATGTTCTTCTCCATAACCTGAAAAACAGACAGCGTGTCTGAATAACATACTTTAGCATTTTACAACATCTTTATCATTAATAATGAGTGTGATACATACTTGGACGAAGCGAGGGAGGAGTCTCGCTTTCTCAATCCCATCTGCGATATGGAAAAGCTCCAGGATGGACAGCAGCTGGCACAGACTCATCACAAAGCCAACAGAGTAAAATGTGTCTGCTAAGGCATCTGCAAAGTCAAAAATCAAATGTTATCATATAACTTTAATGTAATATGGTGGAGGCTTAGCCTATTCTTGCTCTCGCCTGACTTCAGATCTTCATTGTAATCACTGATGCACACCTTCAGTTTGTTGTGGACAGGTGCATTGTTAGAAATATCCATAAACAAGAGAACAAGAGAAGAGAGACGTCCCACACACTATCCTTTAACTTTAATAAGCCTTACCTTTACCAAATGTGAGAAACCTGGCTAAAGTGTTAGCCAGTATCCATGTGTGTCCACAGAACTGGAACAGGTTATACGAGAAAATGTATGCAAGCCTGAAGCTGAGCCTGTAGGAGAAAAAAACATGCCATTTGGTTTTTGTTGATTCATTATTGGCCTTTCACACTCTGGACATCTTCCCTTGCACAGCTGTAAACAATAATTATCAGTGGCTTCCTGGCATGGCCAACTGGCACCATATGGCACGCTCACAGGAAGTGGAGCAGAGCTGTCGTTAATGTTATTAGTTACATCTCTGCTTTTCCTGCTGGGACATGTCATAATGTCAGAAGATCTGTTTACTGGAGAACTGCGAATGCTGCTGCACTTTAATTACAATATTCTCCTGAATCATCTTCCTGAAACTATTTTGAGTAAATTAAATTATATGGAAACACATGATGGAAAATACATTTGCTCTTGTGGTGTAACTTTGAGGTACTTTTGTTAAGTATTTTAATTTGTTAGACTTTTTACTTCTATATTTCCAAGGAAAATACTGAAGTGTTTAATTTCATAACATTTATTTGATAGCCATAGTTAGACTGAAAGTTACACAATCACAACATGCTGATTACACATTAACATATCAACATATTTACAGTTTAACACCAGAAGAAAATGTTGGCATTGTAAATTCCAGCAAACCATGGATACATAACATTTGTATGTTTCATACGTATCATATCAGTGTTTCTAAAATAACGTAGTTCTGATTACATGTAGCGGTGTAGGGGATGGTGGACGGCGTGACAGATAGCCTCCAAGCTGCAGACCACTATTGGAGACTAACAAACAACAAAAGTGGTTGTTTTTTAGCGAGTCGCCGCTGCTTTTCCAGCTTTATTCTTTAGCACTTTGCTTTTCACTGTTCTTTATTAGCGGCTTTATTCAGTGTTTTCATCGCTTTAAATCAGCGGGTCTGTTTGTTTTGGAGAGGAAGAGACCTCTGAGTATAATTCAGCTCGCAGTGAAAACCTCTTGAGAATCTGGATTTAAGTTATCAGAGGTAAAAGGTGAGCACACATTAGCAGCTGTTAGGTTAGCAGCCCATCTCAGACTTGCCAAGCAGCATCAGAGAAACACTGATTTGTAATGTGAAACTGCTTTATTCAGTGTTCTCATTGGTTTAAATTACTTGATCTGTTTGTTTTGAGACCTCTGCGGATTATTTGGCTCCTAGTAAATCTACTAGACACCACACAGTCTCCCTAAATTTTACACACTGGACTTTTTTTTTTTTGTTGTTTTTTTTTAGATGAGTTTTTTTGGCCTTTTGCTTTTAATGGACAGGACAGTGTAAAATGGGGTGAGGGAGCGTGGGGGGAAGACACGCAGCAGGGGGCTGCGAGACAGTGCCTCTGTTCATGGGGCGCCGGCAATATCCACTAAGCTACCAATGCCCCCACACTGGACCTTTAAGTGGCACAACAGTGGAATCAAATTTGCATTAAAGGGATTCCTAAGGAGCAGTAATTACTTTTTGGCCATTTGGGGGCAGCAGAACAAGATGTTAGCATGATATCTATTTATCACTTATGAAGTTTTAATGGCAAATGTGTTAGCAAACAGTAACACGAACATTCATTTGAAGTCATGCTGTTGTTCACCTGACAAATTAGGTCCAGTATTCACTCTCCTTTTAGCTCTGATTTGATCTCCACCAACTCCTAAGAAAAGTATCTGTCTCTTCAGCTGCTAAATGCTCCACTATGTTCACATGCTACTCTCAAACTGTGTCTGTCCACTGCTTGCTGCTGAGCAAGTGTACAGTGAGTATATCAGAGCTTTTCTGCAGAACAAAAAGCTAAATTGGAGCAGTGAGACTGAACCAAAACAGGAAAGTTATGAACTTTAAAGCCAAAACAATGAACTTACAGAGACTAAAGAGCTGTTGGGTACTGCAGAGTTGGTGATAGTTCTCTGTAGGTTCATCTGTGTGAGTATGTATATCTTAGAATTGAAGAGTTATTTGTTTTAAGAATAAAACAACATTTGTAGAGTAGTTTGTGGGTAATTTAAAACTCAGTTCATGTGTTTTATGAGCTAATCTTGGATATAAACCTGCAAAATAAGAACCAATCTGTCAGATACCTTTTAACTGTAAGCCCACCTTACAGTATTTAGCTGTTACTGCTTAGAAAGATGACAGTAAATGAAGCTTTGCAGTAAATGACACTTTGTATATGATAAGCCTGACATTCCTTCTCACGCCCTGCACCTACTGAGCATTCCTCCCACAGCGAGACTCAGACACTGCTGTTAAACTCTCCCAATACTCACTTACATTCTCTTTCTGAAGTCTCCTTTTTCTCCTTTTGTTGCAGGAAAGTTAAGCTGCTCATAATCCCTGTGTGAGTTTAAGGAGAATCATTTTGCAGTGCAGTTTGTTTCTCCTTCTCTCAGTGAACAGAGACCCGCCTCTTACTTCATTCTCCTACACAACTGGGAGCAGAAAAATGCTGCTGCAATATCAGTGTTTTGTAGTGCTTCCTCAGGCTGATTGTTGCAGTCTTACTTTACAGCCAGTAGGAAGTAGACATTCCACGTGTGAGTCTGACGTCAGATAGTCACAGCCCCCTGAAAGAAAACTCTGAGCTGAGTGTGTGGCTCAGGAGGGTGAGGAGAGAAGGAGCAGCAGAACAATGAGACACACTCACAGTGCAGGTCTACAATGTTACGATTAGCAGCAGGAACAAGTTAAATCTAAAAAACACACACATGCATGTCTCATAGCCTCAGAAGTACTTTATGGTGAAACTGAGAGAAAGTATATATTTTTGACCACTACTGCTCTATTTGTGTAATTGTTGCTGTAACACAACAGACATCACATGTAAGCTATAAACACATCCTCATATTACACACTAAACAACAGCTTAACGGTTTAAAAAAAATGCTTTTCAAGGTAAAAACAAATTAGTCTATTTAAATAATAATGGTTATGATAATCTATATTTTGTCAACAAATCCTGTGAAATCACCAAAAGCAAAGTGCCAATCTCTCTCTCTCAATGCTTTGTGACTTATCTAACCTGTCACTCAGCAGTAACAGCTCTTACTGAAGACATTAGTCCTTAAAAACACCTCAGAAATATTTTGGTTTTTTAAAACAGAAATCCCGAAACAACAATGGACCCAGCAAATATTGTTCCGTTGAAAAGACGTTTCAAAAACATCATGGTCACCACTGAAAAGAAAGTCAGACAGGATTTAAAAGTTTTTTCACCAACTATTTGTAGATGTTGACTGACGTTCACATTTAGACCATATTTCACAGGGATTTGCAATACTGAGATTTTTCATCCTTTTACAGTGTGCAAATAATAGTCTATTGTCATTTTGGAGCTTTACTAAGTAATTACGTCCAAATTTCTAAGCTGAAAGTCGGTGGTGCAGTGGTTAGCTTTGTTGCCTTACATCAAGAGGGTTTCTGGGTTCAAACACAGGTTGGGGGCCCCCTGTGCGGAGCCTGTATGCTCTCCCAACGTCAGCGTGGGTTTTCTCCAGGTACTCCTGCTTCCTCTCTCCCACAGTCCAAAGACATGCAGGTTAGGTTAAATGGTAACTGGTAGCTGGTACTGAAAATGAATGAATGAAGTGAAATAACATCTAAATGTAAACATTCAGTCAATGATTTCAAACAGTCGCTGAACAACCGCTCACTTTTGAAACAGTTCTGAACGTCTCTTCACCGGTGACCAGAGAACAGAAAAATGCTCGCCGGGATTAAACAAATTTGTTTTTGTGACTCACTGATGTCGTAACTGCATTTTAGCTGGTTGAAAAGAGGGTGAAAAAGGTTTTAGACATTCAGACATAATATCAACCAGTTTTCAACCAGAAATCAACGTTGAAATCCCAATTGGTGCTCACTGGGCTCTACAGAGGAATAAGATACATGATACACACACAATACTTGTCTACAGGATACAGGCTTATAGCTCTGCTGATTTATTGATCATTTTAGTATTAAAAGCTGAGGCAGAAACAGCCACCTTAAAGGAGAACTCTACAGTCTACAGCTCCTTTCCCACTGCACAAAAAACCCACTAACACCCATTAACGTCTGACCATTTATTTATTGGGAAAGGTTATGACTGGCATAAACTACAAGGTATAACTACTACAATATCTCCCCATTAGGCACGGCTATTTATTGGCTCCAACTCCGATCGGCATCAATGGAAATATGATGGAAATATGACATCTGGATGGACGCGCTCATTTTAGCCCTTGTGCTAGCGAGATGCAATGAGAGGCTGTCACGAAATACTGTCCGTCTCTGTCCAAGCAGCGCATAAACACTGATTCAAATGCATTCTGCACTGAATTTGACAAAGAGACTAAAGAGATGTATAAAAGAAGTAACCATGGTATCATTATTACTGGCCTCCATGCTGCTTTCTACTGTCTACTAACCTGACATCAAATGTGACACACCAGAAACAAAGAAAAAAACAAAGAAAAAAACCCAAAACAACAATAAAAAAACACAGACAGAAAGGCGTACTTGTCTGGTCCAGAGCCCTGGACACGGCTCTTACTGGAAAGTGGGATGCAGTCTTTTGCTCATTTGGGTGGAAATCGTTTATTCTGCCCTTGGACTAGGATTCATCTCTAAAGGAAGCTAGAGCTGAGTGAGTGACTGCTGATGCTGCTGGAGCACTAGCATACACCACCATGTTTTTCCAGTAGAAAGGAAAATTGGAGAAGAGAAATAAAGAAAGGAAAAGAAAGCAAACTGACTTTGCACAAAAAATAAATAAATGAAAAAAAATTCAAAAGGTGCCAGAGAGAGACAGGGATCAAGACAGACTGGGCGGGGGGCCCACAGAGACTGCTTATGCGTGGGGCCCTGAATTTGGTGCTACGCCCCTGAGCGGCAGTGGGGAAACTGGCTGCAATGTAACTACTATGGGACCACAACATGGGAAAAATAGAGTCTAGGTTGGAAAATTGAAAAATTCCGAAGTTCCCCCTTTGTGTGTGTGTGTGTGTGTGTGTGTAACAGATTGTAGTTGATGTAATTGTTGCAGATGAACAGTTCTTCATCATATTGGCTTATTCTAAAGTGTCTGTATTGTATTTTTGTGCTTGTAATGTGTTATGGTAAAAGAAAAATAAATAAAGATAAAGCTTTAATATTTCTGAAACCAGTGTTTCATGGATTTATGGACACGGTCACGGGTGAGCCAATAAATTGGTATGCACTGCTCTCTAGTGGTGGATAGAGTAAATTCATCCTGCACGGATCAGAATCAAGGTCACACACCATAAAACTCTGACAGCAAAGAGCAACAGTAAACTGTTTTTGTTCAGCCTTCCGTCCAGCATCTCTGTGTTTAGATGAAACCTCATATGACAGCTGACCTCAGGCTGCTCCACAAACATAGTGACAACAGTTAAGACACAGTATGTCATCCCTTAGTGTGTGTATTCTGAGTCATCCAACGGTGTGGGTGGCAGAAAACATTACCAGGGTCAAAGGGCATGGAGAGTCAACGCAAGGACAGAAGGGAGGGATAAACATGTGTGCTGTATGGATGATAACTAACTTCTATTATGACACTGTAACTAAGATTGTCAAATAAATATTTAAAAAAACAATAAAAGTGTCTGTTTCGTCTTGCAAAAATACACACGGCTCTGTTAATTTCAAATCATTTTCAGCAGAGAAGAGGCAGAATAATTTCCTGCGGCTCAAAATGGCAACATTACATCCCTCATCTTCAGAGGGTGGTCTTAACCTTCCTGATAAAAGTAAATATCTACTTAGTACTCATCTATGTCTTATAATTGCCTGGGTAAATAAAAAACCTGCATTTTTATGGCTTGATAGATATGTCCAAATTTCCCATGACAAGTGTGGCAGGTTATAAGACACCGAGAGGGCGGGTCTCATATCACCTCTGTCTTCACTCCAATATGTGATAATCATGATTTCCTACCAGGTGTAACAGACCCTGGCTTCCAGATTTGGGCAACTAAAGGAAATTTCTAACCTAGATGATTTATGTGACGGACCCGCATTAATGTCTTTTAATCAATTAATTGAAACGTACAATATTCAAAAACAGGATTTTTTCCGTGACTTGCAGATAAGGGATTTTGTTAAGAAGGATATGCTACTGTCAAACCAGAGTGTGTTGTGCACAGAGAGGCAGCTTTTCTTACTACAGGTGAAAAACTGTATAGGATTTTTTCATAATATGCTTAAAGGGCATGGTACTATAGGCACCCATCACTTGAAGGAAATGTAGAAAAAGGAGCTCAATATAAATATCACAGATGACAAATGGGATGATGCCTGGGAAAGTGCAAAAACATTAAGTGTTTGAAACAGAATAAAAAGTATTCAACTCAAGATTTTACACAGAGCTCTTATATCCCATTCCCAACACCATAAGTTTAATACAGACTTCTCCCCTCTATGCCTCAATTGCAGAATAGAGACAGGTAGTCTCACCCAGTGCCTGTGGTCTTGCTGGAAGATACATCTTGGCATGTTATCCCAGCCAACATTTGTATGTGGGCCCAAGTGGGTAGATAACGGGCTGAAAAATATGCCATATTTGGGACTGTTCATGAGTTACATGTTGGCCCCATGCCAATCACCCACATGTGTGGGTTTACCCAAGTGGGCCCCAGATAAGATGTCCATATTGGGCCCATTCCCACTTGGTACCCAGGTAGCTCTAGCATAACCATCTGGGGCCCATTTGGATAAAGTCATCGATGTGGGCAATTGGCATGGGGCCAATATGGAACCCATGGACAATCCCATATAGGGCCCATTTTTCAACCTATTACATGGGCCCCACATACAAATGCTAGCTGGGATAGGACAGGAAATTGATAAAATCTTAGCCTTTGATCTAAGAAAGATCCACTATTCTACTTGGTATATCAAATGGTTTTGTTAAGTATACATTTAAAGGTAAACTCTATAAACTGCTAACACTCTGTGCAAGAAAGTGCATACATCTGAACTGGATAACAGACAGGATCCCAACTAAAACACAGTAGCATAAGGTCGTACTTGACTATTTATTTCTTTGGATTATTTGACATATTGCACTCCAAAGATGATGTGTTTTATAGTGCATGGGAGCCTATTATGTCCTATGTTGGATTGGATATTTTAGCTATTCCTATTAGAGGGTTTGTGTAGTGGGGGATTGTCTTGTCATTTGTTTTACTTTCTTTTAGTTTGAATGTGTAATTCCTGAGTCTCTTCCCTTCATTTATGTTTGATCTGTAAACCGAGCTGAGTTCAGTTGTGCTGGTTGTATACTGAATGTTATATGTATGTTATATGTATCGTTTTGCCCTAAAAAATGAATAAATCAATAAGCATATTTATTTTAAAAAATTACCTTTTTTTCATAGATTATTATGTGGTTTCAGTACATTAATCTCTAAATGGATCTAACTGACTAAAGACTAATACATGTTTAAAGGTGGTATGCATAGCACTGTCATATAT